TAATATATACTATTTTTATTTGTTGGCCTGGTGATCTCCACTCTTATAAATTACATGTGCTTATGTAACATTATTATTGAATACATTTATTTCTTATTTTATCATAATATAAAATAATTAGAAGTTCTTATTTATTCATGTGGTAAATTTAATTTTCTATACAGTAAAAAAGTATCTCTCTTTCTATATGCTAAACAAAGTTATTCATTTTCGGTGAATAACTTTTGTATAGTAGATTGTTAAATTTTATAATTATATAACTTATAAAGTAACAATACTATTTACGTTTAAGATGCATTATACTCATAATCTACTCTTATCAGTATTGGTACTTATTTTTTATTTGGGTTATTCAGTAATATTAGATAAGGTATATTTATTAGATTAACATATATATATATTTTTAATATTGTCATATAATATCGATATATATTTTTAGATTAGTTCTAATTTGGGATATAAAAAATATGTTTAAATAACATTTCTAATTATTACAAAAGAATATATACATTAAATAAACTAATCTGCAAAAGTAAATTTATGAATATAATAACATAATGCTATTACAAGTATTATTTAATGCATTACTGGTATTGTGTGTCAAATATAGAATAACCAGTTTGTATTGAATTTTATATGCATGTTTTCATTATTTGTCATTAAAATACTCAATACATAAATTACTTAAGTCCTATAGAAATATTTAATAGTAGTTCAGTATTAATTATATAAAAGTAAAAAATTTTATTTATATGTACATTAAACAGGAATTTATATTCTTGGTGAAATCTTATTCCATTGAAGATATAGATGAATTATTTAGAATATAAATAATAAAATTTACCATTCTATTTATGTAAGCTTTTCATATCTCATCCTCTAATATGTTACACATAAATTTAGTCAGTATATATGTATTTTATATTTTTTTTTTTATATATGTAATTTCATTTCTTCTTTTAATTATATATAAAAAAAAATTTCTTTATATAAAAGATGAGTCCTAAGAAAACAGTTGATGCTTCTAATTGTAATGGGTCTATATTTAAATTAGTAGCAATAATATATAATAATTATTTCTTATATTTATATATTATATTTTGTTTGTAATTTATAATGGACACTATAAATGTTGTTTACTATATGTATGTGCCAAATTTTATATTCCATATATTTTCCCGAATTATCAAATAATTATCATTTTTTTATAATTTTTTTATTGTTAAAATTTTTTCTCCTTTTCTGCATATATTTTCTTTTTCTTTAGTAAAATAACTCATTCATTTAATTTTTTTGCCTAAATGCAACGATGTTGAGTACATTGGTTGTAATAACAAATATTTTAGATGCTGTCTTATTATATTTAATCTATTTGATAATTATTATCAATTAAATTATTGTATGTTAATTCAAATGAATGCATTATTTTGAGGTTATCTTTATTTTTTTTATTCAACGTTCTCCTGAACATCCATAGTATTTGTTGTAAAAATGATCTATAAGAAGTATACTGATGACATAGATATAATTTTATACGTATGAATCAGCTATGTAATTTATATAATTTTTTCATATTAACGCATAATATAAATTGAAATTCAGTTATGTATTAAAAACGTTAATATTATATTTAACTTTATACAGGAAGAATATAATCATTAATATTGTAAAAGATATAATAAATAATGTTAAAATAATAGTACGTGCAGATATCACATATGAATGATACGATACTGTAGGAGATTCTTCTTTTGATTCTGCATTCTTCATATATTTCATATTTTCCTTTTTAAATTTATTTAATAATTCACATAAACTCTTATTTTTTCCTTGATCACATATATCCGATAATTGTATATAACTTTTAAAACAATCACTGTTGGAAATGCATGTATTAGACTTACTTCTAAATGTATAATATAGTTCATTCAGTTTATGCAAAACGTTAAAGTTTCCTTCATCTAGATCTTCAAAATCAGTTATACATATATTAGCTACTTTTTTATGTTGACTATTATTTCCTATAGATATCATTTTTTCGTAGACATTTTTAGTATCTTTGAAAGAGCATTTATATAATTCTAGTATTTCTTTTAGTTTGTAATTAAAATATTTACAATATGCTTTTATATCAACAGTGAATTCATTTTTTTCTATATAATCTAAATACAAAATAAGATATCTACAATCTGATTTAAAAATGGACCTTGTATTTTGATTAATCTTTAAATGATTTGTAATACCATTACAAGTATTTTTAATTGTGTGATTATCGAAAGACGAATCATTAATTATATTAGCATTAAAATCATCATAACATGCAGGAAATATGTTCTTAAAATCGAACTAAAAATAAAAATCATAATAAAGAAAATATTGAAATAATATTTGTAAAAAAGATTTTATTCCTATGTTTTTATTCATTTCAATATAATTAAATTAGATAATATAAACTATAACTCATATTAAAAATTGTAACTTACGTATTCTTTTCCACTTAATTTGGGAGACATTGTGTTACATTATATGAAATACACAAAAAAATGTTCTTATTACTGTAAAAGTTTGTAAGTTAAATTATCATATAATATATATAATTTTGCACCATATTTAAGAAATACAGAGAAATTAAAAGTTATGTATTATTTGATATAACCTATATATTAAATTATACTAACATAATTCATTTTCTATATAGATAATAATTTTTCGTGTGATTAAATAACATGAGAAATATATATATATCTTCGAAATTATATAATAATGTAAAATTATAAAAAATATATTTTGTATTATTTTTATATGTATAATACTTATATAAAAAATTAGTTACTTATTATAATAAAATAGGATATATATTTATACAATAAAGAATTTATCTCAAAACATTTATTTATATGTCTTTTCCTTGTTTACATGTACTAGAAATAAATGATTATACATAAATGAAATGCGTGTAATTACCATGAGAAATACATATATTTGTTCTGAATATTATATATCTTTACTTATTATGTATATTATAATGTATGTTACCTGTAATTTAGTCTACATCTATGTAAGAATTAGTTGCATATAAATAAAAATAAGAATATATTATGTTGATAAATTAAGCGTTGAACAATTGATATATTATTATTAATTAAACATATTTATATCCTTTTAACATGCGTTCATAAAAACACTAGAATTACAATTATATTTCTATTAAATGCTATACAGGTATCATGTACAATAAAATTTATTACTTTTAGTACCTATATTAGTTATTTAATCAAATTATTATATAAAACTGATAGATTTGTATTAAAATTAAACAGAGCTATATACATATTATATCTATATTGAATATAGTCCATCTATTTATGTCCCAATATTATATATCAATTAATATGGGATTATGTGGAAAATTAAATTAAAATTATAAATATATACAATAATTCTTAAAATAAATATATGCTATAGGTATCATACATGAATAATAAATACATAATTAAGAAGAATTAATGCTGTATCTACTCAAAACATGTATATATTATATTGTAATAATTGGTGTTATGAATTATATATTATGTTTATACTTTGTATATATCATATATATTTAAAAATTAATTGTGTCAAAAAACACCAACTCTTATTGTTAGTATAGCGCTTTATAGAATTTTTTTTAAAAAATTTAAAATATTATGAATTTATTTATTTTTCTTGTTATTAATTTATTGAGAGTTACTTTATTCTTATAGATATTTTATGTTTTATTAATTTTAATTAGTAATGAATCAATTAAAAGTTAAAATATAACATAATACACGAAAGGAATTTTAAAGTATGGAATAAAATTATGCAATATATTTTTAACAATTTAATTAGTGAAAATACATTGTAGTACATAAATCTTTATTCTTATATAAGGCTTCATGAAAGCATATTTTAGTATCATAATGTAAATTTCAAGTCTCTTTTGAATTTTTCTGCAAAATTTAATATTACATAATGATTCGTGTGTTGTATAAATATTTCTTATGAATAACAGCAAAAATTTTTAATATAATTATTTTTTTTTTAACATATTTTTAAAAAAAATGATTTCTTAATTTATGAATTATAATATGTTAAATATAAAATTTTTAAAATAAATGAATATTTTTGAATTATATAAGTGTAAAAAAATTAGCATTTTATTATAAGATAATTAGATTATGTTTAACATATCATTGTATCAATTATGACTATAATATATTTTTATTCCCCCATAATTATTACTAATTTTCTACATGTCATGAAGAATAATACATTTTATATTAAATTCTTAATTTTTACAATAAATAAAATTATTACTAATACATTTAATTGATATCAGAATGAAAAACTAGACTAATTTACATGGCAATAATAAGAAAGAATTATACACATAAATAAAGAATATATATATATGTTATTCTTAAGAATAACTTTTCATTAACGAAACCTTAAAATATAGTTTCTGCAGAAAGATCATTTGTAAAGCATTTTTTTATTTAATATAAATGTTATTCGAAAAACACAAGAAAAAAATAAGAAAAAAACTAATAATAATATACTATAATAATTGGTTAATAATATGAAAAAATCTTAAATTATGATGTGAAAAAAAAAATTTTTTATACAAAATTATATCATATCATTTCTATTTATATTGCATATGGAGTAAAATATTTACTATTATAAATAAATACCTCATAAATATATTTAAATAATGTTATTCAAAATTTGATTTATTTAATTTATAACAACAAGCTTATGATGAACACTTAATTATTTTTATTATAAGTTAGAGAATCTTATATATTATTTATCATGTATTGGGTACACTGTTCATGACATACGTATAATGTCACATATATTTATTTATTGTGTTTTCTAATGTACCCAATATAATATCCATGCGACTATACAAAATCAAATAAATAACCATACTATATAATGTTGACTTATATTATGTTATTATATAATTAATAGCTATACAATTATTAATATAAATTTATATAATGTTAGTTAAAAGGAATTTTTTTAAACAACATAAAATAGTAACATAATATAATATATATATTATGCTTATAAATTTTGTTATAATTTAGGATATATGTGCTGATTCTTTAATCTAATTTAATGTACTTAAATATATAATCGTGTATTCCATAATTTATAAATAAATATGTTTTTTCACTAGGGTATGTCTATTTACTTTTTAACTCCTTTTTCAAGAATGTGTCTATTTCCGTTCTATAATTCTTATAACATGTACATTATTTATATAAACATCTAACAGTTGTAGAAATTACGTATGAATGTTTTTGTCTTTATCTTATACATTACTGTAGTAATATTGAAAAAAATCATATAATGGATGCGATACAATATTATAATTGTTATTTAATAGAAAGTAATTTATTATATTCAGAGATTACAATACGTGATAATATAATACACTTTTAATGATATTGCAAAAGTTATTTTTGTTATGTTTATTGATAAAATTAATTAAAAATTTTATGATAATAATTTTTTTTCATCAATTTCTATATATATACAGTTAAAACTAATCAACTTTTAAGTTTTTATTTTGTTATATTCATATGAATAAAGTAAAACTAAGGTTAATGTGATGAAATTTTTTTAAATATCACTAACCTTACAAAATAATAGAGAACATGAATTCAGTAATATTGTTATAGATATAATTCAACTTATACAATAACTTGAATTATATATAAATGAATAACAAATGCAATAATATAAAATATATATATTAAATAATTATAGGATTCACAATAATTGTATATTAAAAAGCATATATCCCTAAAACTCTAGAGAAGACATATAAAAATTCATTTAATAAATTATTTTGTATGAATGACAGTATATACAAATAAAAGCACGATCGCATAATCTTGTCTTGTATTATATTTGCATATTTTTTTGTGTTAATTATATGAATATTTTGCATTATATATTTTATTTTTGACAGAATTTATATAAGCATCAAAAACTTATTAAGAATATTATATACTTTATAATATTATAACCTGGTGTATTTTACTAATATAACTACATATAAACGTTAATATAATTAGTTATTTCTCTTGTGTTGTTCTGTTTTTTAATATACACTCACATAATGTTTTTGTAAGTGTATGAACAATGATTAATATATATACAAGAAAAAAATTATTGCATTCAAAGCATTAATTCTTTTTGCGAAGTTACTATTAGAACTATATTTTCTAAATCCTACATAAAATAATGAAAACAGGAAATAAAAGCATGGCTTCTGATTTTCTATCTATAGTATATTCTATAATAGACATTAATATATTAAAATATTATATATTTTTTTATATTATCCGAATAGTTTATTTTCCAAAACAGTAATCAATATATATCAAAGAAAATTAATTATAAATTAAATATAATTTATTATTTCAATTTTTTTCATTCCTACTATTGTATATTTTTATAGAAAGTGTGTATATTTTTATACATGTAAGATAAATTAATTTATTAAACTTCATTCGATCAATTCAATAATTTATAATATAAATTTCTTCAATTTATATTTAGATCCTTTTATGTTTTTATATTTTATTAAATGAAGCATATACATTAATATAATTATAGACTTTTTCTTAAATTTAAATTATTTATTAGTATTTTTATAATAAAATTTTATTCATTAATACATTTTTACAAGGGATAAACGATTCAAGCTAAATTTAATAATATAAATGTATTTTAATGCAATAAATAATTATTATTTTAGAGAATATATATTTTAATGTGAGAATTACTTTAAATTACGTAATATAATATACTGATATGTTATATAATATATAAAATAAAAAGATATATGTATTTGAATAGAAATAAGAAAATTAAAACTTCTATGTTGTTGTTCATTATACCTCTTTTGAATTCAACATTTTAATGATTTTCTATAATTATATATTTAAAATATTTAAGAAAATAATTTTAATTATTAAAATATTACTTTTAATTTTAAATATATTAGAATCAGAAGATTCTAAAATATATCTAACCTTTATAATGTCATAGATATATAAGTAAAAATATAAAACGTATTATGGTAATGTATTACATGAAAATATACGTTCATATAATATTTATGGAAGAAAATTACATCAAATAGTTATGTAAATATTATAAATAAGTTAATTAATTATTATAGTACAAATTACTTAATTCTTGCAAAATAAAATTTTTAATTAAATTATGGAATTATATTACAGAAATATATAAATACACTATCATTCTTTCAATGATAAGGTTAATAAAATTTATATTAAACACAATAATACATAGAGTGTATAAAAGTGTTAATTATTATATAATTTCTTGAAATACACATACAACATTCTGAAATGGTGTCATACAATAACTATATATTTAAATGAAGCCTTATTTCTTAATAGCACTGATTAAAAGGTGCTAAATGTTTCGTTAAAAATAATATGGAGATAAAAAGGACATAAATAATTTAACATTATTTATGATTAGTTGCCTTTATATATAAAGAATATAAAGTATTTCTTTTTATTAAAAACTATTATATAAATAAAAATAAATGTAAGTTTTATTTAAATATGTATATCTAACTATATTTAGTTCAATTTATATATAATAAGATATACGATATCATGATAGATTATAAAAAAATTTATATAAATAAAAGGACTTTAAAGAATATTACGATAATATATATAAGCCAATAATAATTATTAAATAAGGAAATAAAAATTAATAGCATCAAGTATTATATTGAAATATGAACGAATTATTTACATAATTTATTAAGTTAATAATGAATTTAATATAAAATAATTTATAAAGAAATCGTAACAGAAATATAAATCCCAAAAAAATTATAATTAAATTATAAGGCAACATACCTACAGATAAAATGAAATGCTTGAACTTTTAACTCTTAAACTCGAAGACTCAAACCCAATGTATAAAAATTTAAAAAATAAATGATTAACTATAAACCATTTATGTAAAACCTGAACTCTGATAAATGATAATATGATGCGTTCATATTTAATAATATGATAATTTGTTACTTTATTATGAGATCAATTATATCTAATAGTCATAATTATCTTAAAATTTTGAAAATTCTACTATATCCTTCATTCTTATTATAAACATGATGGGGAAATAACTTAAATAATGCATGAAACATTAAAAATAAATTTATTTATAAAATAAATATTATAAGATATATAACATGAAAATATCACTTAAAAAAATTTAACTATTTTTTATCATTATGATATATGCATCATAAAAAAATTAGGAAATATTAATATATCTTATTAATATTACTCTTTATTTTTATATAAAATATGAGCACACCATTTATTTTAATATATTACATTCTCACTATTGAACTAAATATTATAATGTATAATAATATATTATTGTTGAATGCACTTACTTTTTATATGCATATATAAGGCAAATTCAATTTTATAATGATAAATACAAGTGAAATATTAAATAAATAATATATTAAAATAGTTGTTATCATAAATAACAAAATAATAAAATACTTTCTTTAAATAGATATCTTCTCTATTTTATTATTTCATAGAAAGAATGCTTTTCCTGTTCCTTTCATAAGGAGCGTATTCTGTTATAATATCAACAAATACAATTCTAATTGAAATAATAAAAAATGGAAAAAAATATATTAGTAAGAAAAAAAATTCAGAGTATTAAATATTGTGTAATTTATATCTTATTCTATAATTATATTACACAAAATTTATGCTATTTCTAATATAGACAAAGAATATATTATAAGAATGGTCATTGAATACTCACAATATATAATTTGTAATGATTATTTACGTATTACATATATGTATATATAAATATAGGGTTAACTTAAATCATCAAATATATTCCTCGTTTATACAATGATATAATATTTATTATATATATGTGTTGTATAAAATGAAAATATATTTATAATTATAAATTGAAGTATCTCATAAAGCAAGCTTAAAAAGAATATATATTTTTATTATATTATCTATGTTAAAGTTATATTAGAATTATTTAAATTGCTAAAATTATTTTTAGTAAGCAGATAACATATATATAGTATAAGAAAAAGGGAATTACTAAATCATTAGCCTTAAATCATAAACTGTATAACTTTTTTACTATGATTTAACATTAAATATGATTTTTCTTCTTAAAAAATTCTTTATTTTTTATATTGTTAAGTTAAAATAATTATTAGAATGTAATATATTTTGTAAAATATTGTTACAACAATATTTTAGGAAGTATATATATGTTCAAAACAGTTGATATATTTTTTATTTGAATTATCTAGTTATTATAAAGATTAGTATAATATTTATTCATATTTTATGTATTAATTTTAAAAAATTGATACATTAACGTTTTTAAATATCATAATTTAATTAATTTGTAAACGTATATAATGATTTTAAGATGGCTGTATGTAACGTATTTTTGAATTATTAAAATATGAATTACAATAATATAATAATTGTATGAACGTTTTTTCACATATATTTTATGACTTTATTCAGAAGGATATAATGTTGTTTATGCTTGATTAATTTCTTATTTTTAGTATGAATCTATATATTTATTATTTCCTAAATGTGAAGAAGTTATACTTAATATAAATCAAAATCATGCAAATAGCTTATACAAAGAAAAATGTAATCAAATTGATGATAAATATCCGGATATCTTTAACTCTAATATTAATGAAATATGCTGTCAATCTTTGAAATATCTAGATGAAATATATAATGGAAGAGATGCTTCATTAGACACTGCAGGTTTTAAATACTTGTATTATTGGCTATATAAGTACAAGCTAAAATGGGGGAAAAAAAGCTCAGATATTAAAAACTTTTATGATGAATTAATAAATATATATAAAATAAATGATATGAGTTACACAGTTGAAACGGATTATCAAAGTGTTACTGTTGATGAATTTGAAAATCTCAAAAGTTCATATGATATGCATAACAGTTTTATTTTCATAAAAGAAAAATGTAAACCTAATGAAAATGAGAGTTATTGCACTAAAATAAAAGAGATTATGGATAAATATAACAAACAAAATATAATCGAGCATG